GCGCCCGCCCGGCGCACCCACACCCCACCAGGCGTCGGCACCTACCACACCGCTAAATCTAAAAGTCGCTCAGGAGCCACGTGGCAGGCGAAGTCGATGTCAGCGGCCGCCCTGCCGAGGACGTCCATGATGTCATCCACCGGGGTGGCCACTCGGGTCCACCCCTCAGCTCGGGCACGGGAGTCGTCCCCCCTGGAGATGGCGTCAGACACGTTCGACGCCGATGGCACCCGATGGAAGTCGGGCGACCACTGGCGATCGGCCGCAATGCCCCAGAAGGAGGCCAGGATGCCGTTGACCGAGGGGTCCTTGCCGTACCCCTTCATTAAGGGCAAACTGCCCGGCGACATTGTCGATGAAGGCGATCCAGAACGGGCTAAGTCGCCTGGCGAAGGTGACCAAGGGCAGGACCTGAGCGACGATCTCCAGGACATAGATGAAAGCCTTCCTGGCGGCAAAGGGGGCGAGGTGCTCCGGCTTGATGACCCCGTAGTCGTAGAACCCAGCCGTTCTGCCATCCAGCCGCCCGTGGGACGGCCTCCCCGGGCCCCAGGTGCCCGGGCTTCTTCCGCAGGTCCCCGTCCAGGAAGAAGGCGTCGGCGTAGAGCGGACACGTCCCGGCCACGGAACCAGGCGTGGGCGCGACGATTCCACCAGGTGCCGCAGCGCCAGCAGGGCGGAACGAAGTCCCACCGACAGGGCGTCGTCTGAGTTCGCGGCCGTGTCCGCCGCCCTGGAGTAGAGCGGCTTAATCGCCGCCCGGCCCGTGGCCCCAAAGGTGGACTGGGAGAGGAAGGTGAGTCGACCCGCCAAGCGCGAGGCGGCGTCGGGCGACAAGCTGTCGGTCGCCAGCGCCCCGTCGATCTGCTCCAAGATTTTCTGCGTCCTCTTGGCCGTGGGCGCCAACTCCACGCCCTCCGGGCGGATGGACAGGTCGACCCCCTGAACCACATGTCGTGTGGCCGGCTCCTGGGCCTTGGAGGGCTTGGTCTGAAGCCCGAGAAGGGCGAAAAAGTCGGCGACGGCGTGATGGGCGGACTCGGCCGTGTCATAGGAGTCCACGCCGTTGAAATCGTCGACGAAGTGGCCGAGGAGAACCAGGAGAAGCGCTCGAAGGAGCATCTGCACGGCGTCGGCCGCACGATTAAAGTTCCAGACGCTCGCAGCCGCGCGCCAAAGCACATGGCGAAGTGGAACCAGAGCGTCACGCGCGAGGCCGTCGGGAGGAAGGTGCCGCAGTGCCCCGGATGTCGAACCGCCCACTGACGGTAGGCGTTCTGAAGGTCGTGACCAAAGACCACGGGGTCCCAGCCTTCCGCCCAGGCACGGAGAACCAGGTCGACGATGTCCCCCAGGAAGTGGTGGGTGGGCACATCGGCGGCTCCCATGGTGGCGTTGTGTCCGGACCCGCGCCAGTCCTCGCCCCGGCAGAGCTTGAGGTCGCCGTGCTCGTCGACCTGGCAGATGGCGAAGGAGAGAGCCGCGAAGCAGTCCCCCGGCGGAGGTTGGCGAAGGACTCCCCCCCACCACCGACGGGAGGGCGGCGGTGGACAGAGACCAGTGCTCCGGCGCCCCGCAGGGTCCCGTGACCCTGCTCAGGCGAGTCTCAGCCACCAGCTCGTCGAGGAGCGCCTGGGTGTGCTCCTGGTCTCGTGGGCGGGCCGACTTCCTGGCCACGTATTGGGGGGTTCTCCCGCAGCCGGTCCAGCCCTTCAGGGCGAGCGTAACGCTCGTCGGAGCGCAGCTTCCAGCCTGGGGCTGTGCGGACCCGGCCCAACATGTCGAAGCCCTCGTCGGAGCAGCCTGTCGAACACCGCTCCCTGGAAGGGGCGGGTTGATCGCTCGTCTCGTAGGTCGCCCTCACGTGGGGGGGAAGAGCGCCCAGCCAGGCGATCGTATCCTCCGAGGCGTCGTCGACCATTTCCTGGAGCTCCCTGACCACCTCGGCGCGGATGCGGACGAGGTCATGGCGCCACTCCCACCAAACTGGAGAAAAGCCTCCAAGACGGGTTCCAGCTGAGGCCATCCCACCAGCGAGTGCTGCATACCGGTCGCCGCCGCCCAGCGCGCACCCCCACCCAGCCCTGCGCCCAGGAGGGCCGGCGTAGGCTGTGTCGAAGTCCACGAGCGCCTGGGCCGCGTGAGTCGAGGCCATACCGGCGGCGGGGAGTGTCCGCGGCGAGGCGTGCAGCTTGAGCCGGAGAGTGGGGCGCTAGGAGCGGGAGTCGGGTGGGGGACCAGAGAAACCCCCAACTCACACAAGCAGAACCGGGCGCTATGCAAAGTGCTTTTCTGACGCCCGGCGGGGCGAGCTCTGTGCCGGCCGACGGCTGTAAACGCCGACCCTGGCGACCTGCCCGTCTACTCCAGCTCCGGGACGAGCTCGGTTTCGATGTCGCCCCGGCTAATAAAATCCCCGGCCCAGCATTCGCGGCACCACTGCCAGGGGAGGCCGCCCGCTTCGGCGGCAGGAGGGGGCCAAACCATGGCGAGGACTCTCTCGCCCTCGATGCGACGCCCGCAACGGGCGACCGGGTGGTCTTCTCCACCGCGGCGGGGCTGGTGCACCACCCGAGCCCACGGCGGCAGTACGTGCCTGGCACGTAGATGCCCGTCGCGACCACGGGCCACTCCAAGACCCGGCGGGCTGGCTCGAAGGTGAGCTCCTCCGACAAAACGGCGCCAAACATAGCATCATCATCATCGCTGTCGCCCGTCTGGAACGAGTGTTGCGCCCATTGGGGGCGCCACCTGGCGGGCAGCGCCGGCAGACCCCACAAAGGGTCGCGGCTGTATGCCCGACCCGGCGTGTCCTCGCCGAGCCAGTCAGTCGATTTGGACGCGAGCCTGGCGCCACATCGCCAGGAGCGCCCGGCGGTCGTGGACCCGGACGGCCCGTGGGCACTCCAGCCAACTCCCGCCGCCCGGCGAGCGGAAGCCCTGGAACCAGGGGCGGGCGCAGCGGACGAGGAACTCCCTCTCATCGCCCGCCCACGCCGCGAACTCGGGGATGGAGTCGCGCCCCACCAGGCGCAGCATGCGCGCAGAGCTGACCGACAGCCCGTGACGGGCGCATAGCTCCTCCCAGATGGTGCGCCCGTCGGCGAAGACGAGCGCAGCCTGGTCGCCAGGTCCAGGTCGCCCGGGTCGCCACCTGCCGTCCACGGCACGGTCATGTAGCCCTCGGCGATCGGGCGGGCCATGGCTGGCGGCACAGGCGTGGGCGACAGAGGAGTGGCGAGGCAAACGCAAGAGCTAGAAAGGCTAAGGCCCATGCATGATGCAGCCGCAGCTCCCAGCAGCTGGCGGTCGCGGTCTAAGAGCAACCAAGCAGAGGGCCCCCCCTTTCCCGGCGAGTGGCCACTCATGAGTCAGACGTCGACCCCCCCGACTCGGAGGTCGACGAGGCTTTGTGAGACGACGGCGAAGACCCCGACGCCCGCGACGAGGAGCCCGAGGAGCTTTCGACGGCCTTGCTGCATCCCTGGAGACCGGCCGGGAAGCAACGTCTGCAGAAGGCCGCCCGGGTAGGGCCAGCCGCAGCCCAAGGCTCGCCATGCCGCCCGGTCGGCGTTGTGCTCCTCCGGGTCCGGTGTGTGCACGCGCCGCGTCCGGGCGAGATATATGTAGCGGTCGGGCCCCTGGTCCTGGTCCTGGACCGCCCTTTCCCGTCGAGCAGCTGTATGACTGCCATCGGGATGCCCCTGAACGCCAGGAACGTCGCCCTGGCGACCCGGCAGGCATGTCCTCCGAAAGTCTGCCGCTCCACCCCGGCGGAGTCGCGGTAGACCGTCTCCAGGCCGCCGCTTCCAGGACGCCCCGGACGTCACCGACTCATCCTTGGACCGAGTGGCCCCCCCCCCTCCGGGGAACAACGGCCCGGACGAGGCGAGGAGGCTAGCCGCCCCCAGGCGGGTCAGGTGCCTCATAGCCGCATGCACCGGGCACAGCGGGTGTCGCGTTGCGCCACAAGCGCACCTCAAGGACCGGCAAGTGAGCGTCCTCTCGCCCCCCGTGGCGGTCTTGTGCAACGGCAAGTCGAGGACGACGAGGCCGGGCGAAACGATCATGTCGCCGACCATGGCGGCAGCCACTTCGATCTCGCGGAGCATGAACCAGACCGCCACGATGAAGACGTCGGCGGAGTGCGCCGCCCTGCCCGGGTCGAAAGCTGCCCTGTCGGCGTAATCGACCAGCGGCGCGAGGGCCGGGAGCGGGAACGCCTCCTTGAGACGAGACCCGGGCAGCCCCCTGACGATGGCCTTAATGACCCTGTTCGCGAAGCGGCGAAGCAAAGGGTCGACCTCGATGCGGAGGTCGTCTTCGCTCGTTGGCGCTGCGGTACGCCCCTGGCCCGAAAGGCCGCCCCAATCCCAGGCGGGTACTCGGCCCTCGAAGGCCAGGCGGTTCCATGTGCGCAGCCGGCCCCCTGGTAGACCTGGCTTGACGTTGGCCGGGCGAACTGCCTCCACTGCGGCCGGCAACGACGCGCGTGCCGCATCCCGGCGGACAGGCAAGTCCGGTCGAGAAGGCCCGGCCCCGACCAACGCCAGTGCCGAGGTTTCCCCGGCGGGCGGCGGTGCCGCAAGCATGGCCTCCAAAGCCAACGGAGAGACCCCCGCCGCCACCCAGCGGTCGGCGCGGGCGGTGAGATCCGCGATGTTGCGGGCCCCGGCCTGGGCGAGCAACGGGAGCGCCTCGGACTGGCCGGTCCTCTCAGCCAGCGCAAGGAGCCCTGGGGAGGGCCCATGGTGGCGACACTCGAGCCTCTGAGCCTGAAGCGCACAGGCTTGAACCTTAGAGCCGTAGAACCCCTTAAGGAATCGAGTCGGGCGGGAGGGAGGGGGGGCGGGGAGAGGCGAGGCAGCAGGACACGCGCACTCACTCTTTTTCCGGCGGCTCCAGACGAATCAAATAACTCGCAAAATGAGGGACACAGGCGCGAGCCCGTCCCTGGCGGCAAGCTTAAACAAAAGAAGCCCAGGCGAAGATGCAATAGACGGCCCGGGCGTTGGCGGGGGCGGCCCCGCCCTAGGTGAATCGCTGTGCCGGGGTGGGCGGCGCACAGCGCTGGCATTCNNGTCGGCCCAGCATCGGCGGGTAATTGACTGGCCGCAAGCACCTGGCGCGATCAGGGCAAGGCTGTCCCCGACGATGGCTGCCAGGACATTTCACAAAGCACCAGCCGATCCACTGCGTGAAGTCGGCCGGGCGCTCTCTGGGCAGGCGGCCGCCCCTGACGTTGTTGGGCAGGGACCTGACGATCACGCCCGCCGAAACGCCCTGCAGAGGCGATGGCATCCTCGAGTCGCTCCGCCTCCTCCCAGGTGTCTGCCGTCCACCCCTGCACGGCGAACGGGATCTCCTTGCCGGCTCGTGGAGTGGGAAGCGGAAGGCGTCCCAGGTGCTCAACGGCGCCTGCGGCCGGCGGCTCTGATTTCTGGTGCCGTAGCCCGCCCGGCCGACGCGATCCAAAGGCGGGAAGGGTGACGTCGGTGGCGGAGGAACCCCGGCGCATGCAGACGCAGGGCCCGCCGACGAACCGGTACCTGAGGAGGATGCCGAAGGCGCCGCTGGAGCCATAGTCGAGGGCGTAGGCGGCGGTGTAGATGAAGCCGCCGACGACGAGGGCCGTGGTGCCACAGGGGTGGTGACCTCGGGCTCCGCCCCACTCGGGGCCGTGGGTCGTGCTGGTGCCGCCCGGGCGGGAGGCGCCGTGGTGACCTCAGGCGCAGAATGCTGCCCGCCCAGCTGGGCGCCGAAAGGCTGGCCCATCTCCGTGCCGACCAAGTGCGGCGGCGGTTTCTTGGGCTTGGCCCGAGCCAAGGCCGCGTCGTCCGCCGCCTGGCGCTGCTCCGCCAACTCCCTGGCGATGCTGCTCTCGATGGCCTCCTCGTAGGTGGCGCTGTCGTGCAGCAACCGGAGGCCAGCCCTGCTGCGGGCCGTCTGGTCCTGGCGGACGAAGGCCGCCCGGCGGAGGTACTCTTCGGAAGGAGCCGAGGCCCCGCCGACCACCTCGGACGGAGCCGAAGCCCCGCCGACCACCTCTGGCGCGTCGGTCGTCGCCCCACCGGACGAGGAAGCTGCTGCCGGCCCGGGCGTAGACTCCTGCTTGGGCACAGTCTGGTGCCGAGTCGCCGCAGGGGGGCCCACCGGCTTCTGCTCGACGACCTGGCCCTAGTCGTCGAACCGTGGCGGGACCTTCGCCCCGGCGGGAGCCTTCTTCACTGGAGGTCGGGCCGGCGTGTCGTCCAGGAACTTGATGGGCCTGTCGGGATACGGCATAGGCGGCGCCTTGGTCGACGAAGCCTCCTTGGGCACGTCGAGAACCAGTGCCGGGGGACGCGCCTTCTTGAACGGCGCCTTGGGCCCGGATCCCGGCGTAGTCGACGAGGACGCCCCCGACGCAGGCGTGCCAGACGACGCCTTAGCCTTGGCGGCCGCGTCCTGCTCGTCGAGGAAGATCTCCAGCGACGTTGGCGGCTCGGCGTCGAGGTCGTCGTCGGGGACCGGCTTGGAGGCGGCCATCTCCGCCACAGCCGTGGCGTCCTGTTCCTCCCAGAAGGTCCGGGCGGTGGCCGGCGATGGGCCCGGGTCCACGACGCCCACCGGCGAAGTCGTCGACATAGGCGGCGCGAGGTCGAGGAGGTCCAACGTAGGCACCGTCGAGGAAGAAGGGTCGTTGGCCCCACCAGTCGGCGCCACGTCGACAAGGGGCTGCTCCTCAGCCAGCCTAAGCGCCCCGACGAGACGATGACGGTCGTCACGCGACAAGGCACGAATGGCCGTCGCCAAAGCCTCCTGGGTGGTATCGCCCACGAAGGACGAAAAGATATCCTCGCCGGCGGTCTGGACGGCGACGTCGTGGGCGTCGAAGGCGACGATCGGCGCGACGTGCTCCGTCTGGGCCTCGCCGTCGACGAGGTCAGCGCCCAAGAGAGGAGCCCCGGCGCGATCAGCCAGGAGCTCTTCCTCATCGCCGCTGGAAGGCGGCACGCCCATCACTGGCGGGGCGATGTCGTCGTCGCCCGCTGTTGACTCGACCAATGCCGGCTCGCCCGGTGTGGGCGGCGCGGCGTTCTCCCCGGCTGGCGAGCCCGGCGTGGGCTGCACAGCCGCCTCTTCAACCAGGCCAGGCGCGGTTGTAGTCGATGGTGAAGTCGACGTAGTGGGGCCCACCACGTCGAGGCCCGCCGCGGCGGCAAAATCCGCCCAGGCGGCGGCATCACCAGACGAGGCGCCGAAGAAGGCCATGGTATCAGGCGAGAGGCGAAGGGAGCGAAGAAAATCGAAATTGGTCGAGCCAAGAATGCTTCAGGGCTCGACCGCTGGTGCTTGACCTACACACACAAGTGTGTTACACAACAAAAACATCGGAATCTGCCAGACCAAGGTCCTCAGGATGGGGCTCGGGTGGCATGGTGCTGTGTAAGGTTAATTAACTAGTTCAACGACTGTGTGCACATCGCAGCACGTTGACAAAGTCCAAGCAGCCCTGAGCAATCCAGATTGCGCCAAGCTGTGCCCCGCAGACCTCAGAAGCTGTCACTGGAACTCGTTGTCCTGGCATCGTGCAGTTCCAGGCACCGCAAGCAGCCGCCCCGGTCCGCCACAGCCGCCTTTCCTGATCCAAGCTCCGACACCCTTGACTGCAGCCGGTTCACATGAGAGCTCTGCGGTCGCATGTGCCAGAGATGCAATGACACCCGGCCGATGGAGACTGTGCTGCTTTGCTTGCTCTAAGTTCCAGGTTGTTTTGGTGTCTGTTACCCACCTGCACCTTCCAGAACCATGCCCACTGGGCAATGGAAAGGAACGACGTATGCCTTTAATGCCTTTTCAATGCCACGCCAGGTCTCGAACGGAGCATCTCCAGCTGAGATTGCAGCCAGACTGGCTTGTCAGTCGCCATGTACTGCCTGAGCCGTGTCTCTCTGATATTTCAATCCTTTCTCGTGCCTGTGCTGGGTCAGTGTCGACTCTTGTCATTGCGCAACCGATCGGGACCTTTCCGGCCAAGTCACACGCCGGTTCTGGCTGCTTTCATAACGTGCTCCTGTCACACGACCATGGTGAACTGCAGCCTACTCCGCATACGACTGCACTAGTCACTAGTCAACGCGCCATAACCGAACAGCTGCGTAGTACTGGTATACCATGTAGCTCCTGAGTGTGCCTATGCCAGCATTGCAGGGTTCATTACTGGACTCAGCTGTTTGCTGGGATCCTCCAGCATGTCGAGCACGAAAACGCTGCGAAGTAGACATCCCCTTCTAAAGCTGCTTATGAACTCATGCCAGGTACACTGTTGAGAGCAGTATCCCACAAAACTGCAACAGTCTATCATGGTTGCTCGCCGATGTATTTGTTCAGCATGCCATTGCGGCAACCGCGTGAGCAAGCGAGCATGCCGTCCATACAGGACACGACAGCCTACCACAACCACAGAAGCCAAACTGAAGCCCTCTCCGCACAATTGTACTCCCAGAGCTTGGAGCCGGTTGTTAAAGACCGCCTGCGGCTATACCTACCCATGAAAATGTGGGCATGAGTTGTGCAGAAAATTATGCATTCGTATCTCTGTCACGGAAACAAGCTTTGGCGAAAGTACGTTGAATTCTGCCCTGCAGTTGTCCTCGGTGGAAATGCCATAGGTCATCACCTGAATCCAACGACCAGCACGTTTGAGGAGTCACACGAATCAGCAAAGGTGGAGGGAACAAGGCCTCCAACTAGGCAGATATGCCAACATGTGCCAACCTTGCAAGGATCCTTTAAGAACCAGACCCCCGACGTCACCGCCGCCAGTCCATGGAGTAAATTGCATGAAAAGACAGTCGCGCAAGCAGACCGTCACACAAGTTTGCAGCATTGCCGGTGGCATTAGACCACAAAGGCTAACTAGGCATTTTGGCGACAGCCTTCGCAAGAAGCGTTCCCAGCATGTTTCAACTCAACACGGCTTCCAAAGCCATAGGCAAGTGCAGGAACTGGCTGAACAGGAAAAGGAATCGACTGCAAGCACTCGCCCTTGACTGTCTGTTGCACTGTCACTTTGTCGAACATGCGCTTTTCATGACTTGGCCTGACATATGACCGACGATGCAGCACCAGACCTCCAAACAGAAAAGGTAAGGGAACCCCAAGGGACCCAATGAGCGGGTAAGCGTCGTTTCTTGGTAACTTGCTCAGGCAATCATATACTGCCAAGACTTGCCAGGTGACGCTGAAACCTTGGCGAACAGCTTTGGACAGCAGCGTCTCGCTCACATCGATGGACGGTCCCACCCTGTCCGCTGTAGCAAGTGAATGAAAGGCCGTGGAGCTAAGCCTGGCCTAAACTCGTCCGCCAACTTTGGATGCAGTGCCTTTTCGGTGAGGGGGGGGGGGATTACTTTATCGGTTTCGGTATGTATGCTACTTATTGTCTTTTCTCTCAACAGGAATGCAGCCTCTCGTGGTTGCGAATTAGCAGGAGTTGACATGCGCTGTCCTTCCTTCCGGCATCTGGCCTGGCCCAGCCGACTTGCTACAAAACAGCACAGTGCACACTGGAATTCCCCAATAACCCGCCGCGAAACAAAGCCTTGATTCCCAACCTCTCGAAAAACACTCACCAGCCAAAAGTATCTGCCCTTTTGGCATGATCCCCGTTTACGTGTATCTTTTGGGTGCGGATTGTCAATTATCACTGTCATGCCCCAGCTTCCTAGACATACCTGCTTCCAGGCCCACAAACCTGCACTGATTTTGAGCCTGGGGACATATCGAAGCCACCTTCTGCTGCCTCATCTAAACTGGCCAAAGAAGCAGCTGGGTTCCTTCCCAGGGGTGCGTGACATAATGTCTGTCTTCATGATGCAGTGATACACATGTCGCCCAATTCACAGAACACAACTGCCTCGGCGACCTACAAAAAGGCTGCTAATTTGCGAGTTCGGTGCCCTTTCCACGGTCGATCGTACATGGCCTGAGCTTCTGAATAGAAAGGCTGCTAGCACACTGGAATTGGCAGTTCCACCAGTGGCAGTACTGCACAGTGCGCAGCGCTGTCACCCTTAGCGAGTGCAACACCTGAATCTCCGTCTGAGTAACAAGGATGCTCTTGATCTCCGGGTACCGCTTCCTGTGGACCTGCTGGAACAGGTCGACATCCTGCAGCGCGCCATGGTAAGGAACGGATGTCGCAAGTAAATTCATGTGATTTACCCTCACCGGCAACATGACTGACAGCAGCTCTTGCTGTTTCGTTCGCCCCAGGCAAGCGGATCAGAACAGGTGTTTCCGAGACCTGCACAGATTTAACCCAGCCCTGTAATGTTTCGCTCACCCGGTCCGCAGGCGAATACCACACGGCGAACTTGCATCCACCTGCCATCCCTGCTCGGTGCAGTGTCTGCAACGTCAACTCCAGGGCCTCTAGGACAGGGGAGTTGCATTTGCACACCTTGAACAGACTGCGGATCCTCGAACAAGTCGGCATATCTCGTGTTGATGTACTTTACTGCTTTCGCCCGCATGCCCATCTCATTGAATGTTCTTTAGTCTCCGGTCCCGCTAGCCGCTTTTGATGTTGCCGAAACGAAACAACCAAACCGAGGCACTGCGAGATCCATGTCCTTGATCTCGAAAGCAACAAACCTGCTGCGGCCACACTACCATAAGCATGCAACGGATAAAGCTGGCAGCAAGACGACCCCACCTGGCAGAGTTCGTTTGCAAAATCAATAGAAGCTGTGTCAGCTGCAAGGCCTCATGAACACGGACCCGCCTCTACCCACACAAGGCACTGGCACATGATCCACGTGCGTCCTGCTGGCCTTGCCCATGTCTCGGGGGATCTTTTTGAGGTCGATCTCGACCGCCGTGGAGCCATTGCGTCTGCGTACAGCTGACGGAACCAACCTCTCCTGTGGTGACAAGACAGATAGACTTACACTTTCTTTGGCATGAACGAGCCATCTCGATCCCAGGCTCGAAATCATCCGGATGACCAACTACCAACTCCAGCGCAGAGTCGTCGCGACGAGATGCCCAAATTCTCGTGAGGTCGAGGTCGGCCTCTTGTGTTTTTCCCACGCTCACTTCAAGGACAAACCCGGAGAGACGCAACCACCACGGCAGCAACAACAGCAAGAACAATATCAAGAACCACACTGACATCGACGACGACGACGGCGACTACTACTTACTACTACTACTCCTACTACTA